GCCACACGGCTTCCACTGAGGGCAAGATCCTGAAGCCCAGCTGTCGGCTCTTGATCCCTCGGTTTTCAAACGTTTCCGAACCCGGTCTTCCGGAGCGGGTCACATTCGAAAACCAAGGGGCCACTGTGTCCAGCGTGTCGTCTTTTGGGGTGGGCCGCTTTGACTCAGCATGAGGATTCTGAGATGAGCGCACATTGCCGCACGCATTAGTGGTTTGTTCCTTTGACGGAGAGTAGTATCCACTATGAATATTCCACAACAACTTTTCTGTCAATGGACATTTGGGTTGATTCTAGTTTGTGCCTACTATGAACAAAGCTGCCGTGACCATTCTTGCACAAGTCGCCTCGCGGCCATGTGTTTTCCTTTCTTTGGGGTAAATAGGAGTGGAATGGCTGCGTCATATGGTAAGTGTATGTTTAACTTCTTGTCATCAGACCTTTCTCCCAAGTGGTTACGCCAGCTACATTCCCACTAGCAGCAGTGCGTGAGTTCCCAACCTTTTTCATTTTGGCCATTCTAGAAATGGGGTGTGCTGTCTTTGTGGTTTAGATTTGCATTTCCCTGAGGACAAAGGATGCTGAACATCTTTTTAGGTTCTTATTGGCCATCGTAGTTCCTCTTTTGTGAAGTGTTCAGATCGTTTACTTATTTTTAAAAAATCATGTTGTCTCTTTTATTGAACTGTCAGTTTTTTTGTATATTTTGTATACAAGTTCTTTTTATATACATTATGGGTATTTTCTGCTAGTCTGTGGTTTGCTTTTTTATTTTCATAGTGGTGTCTTTCAGAGATCAGAAGTTTTGATTTTTGTGAAGTCCCAATCAATTTTAACATTTCTCTTATTCTGATTAAGGTTGAGCATCCTTTCTTAATTTTAAGGGCGACCTATGTATCTTTTTTCTGTGAACTGTTGATGTCTTTGGCCTGCTTTTTAAAAATCAGTTTATTGGTCTTTCTCTTCCTGATTTTTAAGAGCTATTTGCGTATTGGGGAGATTAGCCTTTTATGATATGTTACAATGTTTTCTCCCAATGAGTTCGTCTTTTTGGCTTTGCTTACAGTGTTCTCTCCATGCAAAATTGCACACGTATTTTTACATAGTCCATTTTTATTGCTTATAGATTTTAGGTTATAGGCTTCCTACTTCCAGGTTATAAAGGAATTCACCTATTTGTTGCATCTAATATTTATATGGTTTCACTTTTTTACATTTAGATCAGTGTTCCATTTGGAGTTTGTTCTGATGTTCAGTGTAAGGCATGGAATCAATTTATCATTTTGCAAATGACTACATACTTGTTTCCATGTCATCTATTAAAAAGTCCATTTTTTCTAATGATTTGAGGTCACATTCCCCAGACCTTTATCATTAAAATATTAAATTTCCATATGTACACAGACATTCTGTTCTGTCCTGTTTCTGGGCTCATTTTGTTCCACTGGCCCAAATGCCCACAGTCTAGGAGGCAACAAGTTTCCTTTTTCCCCTCAACTTTATTAAGGAATAACTGGCAAATAAAAGTATATATTTAGATTGTACAATGTGAAGATTTAATACACATATACATTGTGAAATGGTTACCACAATCAAGTTAACATATCCCTCACCTCAGTTACTTTCAAAAAATTTTTATTTAAGCATAGTTGGTATACAATAATATATTAGTTTCAGGTGTACAATATAGTGATTTGACATTTTTGTATGTGATCACCCCACTAATTCTAGTAATCACCTGTCATGGTACAAACTTATCACAGTATTACTGACTATAGTCCCCTTCACCTTTGTCACCCATCCCCTCGGACACCCTTTCCTTTTATCTGTTTCTATGAGTCTGTATTTGTTTTGTTTTTTTTAGATTTCCACATTTAAGTGAAACCATATGGTATTTGTCCTCTGACTTATTTCACTTAGTATAGTACCCTTTAGATCCATCCATGTTGTTGCAAATGGCAAGACTTTATTCATTTTTTTATTGCTGTACAATATTTTATGTATATAATTTTTATCCATTCATCTATTGACATATCTTGGCTAGTGTAAATAATGCTGAACATAGGGATGCATACGGCTTTTCAAATTAGTGCTTTCGTTCTCTCTGGATGAATACCCACAAGTGGAATTGCTGGGTCATATGGTAGACCTATTTTTAGTTTTTTGAGTACTCTCCATACTGTTTTCCACCAAAAGTGGCCACACCAATTTTCAGTCCCACCAGCAATGCACAATGGTTCCCTTTTCTCCACATCCATGCCATTACTTGACTTTTTGGTAATAGCCATTCTGACAGGTGTGAAGTGGTCTCTCATTGTGGTTTTGATTTGCATTTCCCTGATGATTAGTGATGTTGAACATCTTTTTGTCTGTTGGTCATCTGTATATCTTCTTTGGAGAAACATTTGTGTCCACTGCCCTTTTTTTTTTTTTTTAATCAGATTGTTTTTTGTTTTGTTATTGAGTTGCATGAGTTTCTTATATATTTTGGATATTAACCCCTTATCAGCTATATATTTACCCATTCAGTAGGTTGTCTACCTAGTTACTTTGGTGTGTATAGTGGGAACACTTTTAAGATCTACTCTTAGCAAATTTGAAGTATACAATACAGTGGGAACTGTAGTCCCAGTGCCGTATATTAGATCCCCACAACTTATCCCTCTTGTAACTGAAACTTTATTTGACCAATATCTATCTCCCCACTTCCCCCAGTCCCTGGCACCCCCACCCACCTACTCTCTCTGGTTCTGAGTTCGGCTCTCTTAGATTCCACATGTGAGATCATACAGTATTTGTCGAGGCTCATTTCTGGAAATTTTAAATTAAGGCTGCTGCTGCCTTCCTGAACCCAGCTGATAGGAAAAGAACTGCCTGCCTTAGTGGAGAAACCCATCTCAGGGAACTCATTCTGTGAAATCCCGGAGCAGTTATGTAAAGGTCCACCCCCTCTCCTTCTGTAAAGCTTCACCATAAGCCCTTTGGGCATCTACTCGATCCTCTACACAGCCTGGGCCTCCCGACCTCAGGCCAGCTCTCTTCCCCCTACTATGTGCAGAGGCAGGGCTGGGTGTCAAGAACCCTTCCTCACAGCTGAGATCCAGTAAAACGAATGGCAGCTCCTGCTTTCCCATACAGCCCTGCCCTGGGCCCCCAGAGTCATGTGAACTTCATCTGCCCATCTGCAGAGGGCATTGCTCATTGACATGGACTCTGCCCAGCCCTGGCTGGTGGCTTCCCAGGAGGCTGGGCGGGAGGCTGTGGAGGGTCAAGGTCCCCTCCTTGCAGCCTGCCCCGGCCCCCGCCCCGCAGGCAGTCCAAGCAGCCCTTTTTGTTCACATAACCTTTTCCCACACACCTGTGTTCCCAGGTCTGCACCTTACTTGCTGTAGGAGGCCAGGCAAGGTGCCTTACCTTTCTGAGCTTGTTTCCATCTGTACTTCACAGGCTGTTGTGAGGAGTGAAGGAAGGATTATTGCGTCAGGTCTGCGCAGTTTGTGGCACAGGGAGAGGCTTCATAAATGTGTGTTTATTGAACGACAGAGTGAAAGAATGAATTCCACTGGTGAACCTTCTGGTGGCTCATTTGCCTGCTGAGATGGTCAGAACTGTAGGATCTTCAGGTCTAGGGGCTCCTAAGTGCAGACTTCATTCCAAATGCAGCCACCCCATCCCCTACCATTGAATCCTACCCCAGGAGGCAGGCCCAAGAGTTTTCAAGCCATGCTGAGGATGAGCCAAGTTGGAGCTGGGCCGAGGACAGGGCCTGCCAGGCCACACTCAGGTTGTCAGGCCCCAGACCCAGCTCCTCCACATCCTGGCCCGGCTCCTGCAGGCACCTGGATGTTGGCACTGCAACCTATCCCAGTGTCCTTAGACAGTTAAGATGTATGTAAAGATGGGGGGATGTGAGAGGCACACCCACCAGCCCTCAGTCTGGGCTGCTGGGTCCTCCAGAGAGGAAATTTCCTTCTCTTATTTATTTTCCACATCCTTGACTTTGAAAGCCAAGCTGGTGTTGATATTTACCTTGGCCGAGCCACCCCGTCTCCTTGGGCCAGCCTCGTGTAAACACGATGTTCCTTCTCTCGGCTCAGCTAGCGTTGAGGTGGCCTTTTGCAACCAGTTCTAGGAATTCTGAAAGTCTGAAGGCGTAAGTTCAGGGACCAGGCCCTAGGGAGCCCAGGGGCCTCTGGGGCCAGCGGGCTGGGCCTCCCCCCACCTTTTCTCATTTCTGTGGGAGATCCTATTTTCCCCATATTCACATCTCGCCCCACCCCAGGTCAGACTCAGAAGTCCCAGGCTCCTTAAGGATATATACCGAGGGGCAGGCAGGATCTGGCTGTCCACTGTCCTGCCCTAGGCGCCTACTGGGGCTGGTATGGAGAAGGCTGACTCGAGGGGCAGCCAGCTCTCTAGTGTTTGTCCAGACATGTGGTTTTTTTGTCCAGTTGGCACCTGGACCACCATGGTGGGTGCCTGCGGAGGTGGGAGGTGTGTGCACAGTCTGGGCCCCATTCAGCAAGAGCACAGCCCAAGCCCCTGCCCTCAGGGAGCTTACCTTCTAGGGAATGGGTGTACGTTAAGGAGGAGGCCATTGAAGAGACAAGGTGACCTGGGCTCATGGTCAGGCCACAGAAACAAGAGTGAGCGGGGACTGACTGGGGCAGGAATGGTAGCTCTGCGGTGGATGGAGAGCTGAGGCGGCATTTGTACTCCTTTGGGCCAAATCCTAGCTCTCCCCGCTGGCTTGGCCACTGGTTCACTTACCAGAGATCTCTTGGGCAAGTGACTTCACTTCTCTGAGACTTGGTTCCATTATATAAGAAATGGAGGTGTCAATCTCTTAGTGACAAGAGTTGAGGCACACAGTGTGTCACCTGCAAGTAGGAGCCATTGTTCCTTCTGCTTATTGACAGTTGACACAATTGCACAGCTCTGAACATCAGAAGACAGCTCTGAGCCACTGAACACTCTGAATGTCTCCCCTTCTCCACACAGATCTGGGACATGAGTGACGACGAGACCGTCTGACACAGCCCACCCTTGTGTGGACAACTTCTCCTGGCTGCCTGCTGAGGAGCTCTCAGTGGCCGGAGCAGGACTGCCACCCTAAGACTGGTGACTCTGGGTGGGCCCTGCTTCCCTTCCTCTCCATACCTTGAGAACTGGGGCCCTCCCTTTGCTGCCCAGGAGCTTCTGGTGTTCATTTCTGATTCATGATCCTACCCGTTCTGAGCTAAATAATAACCTTGGCTTTGCATTGCCATCAACCTGGGACATGGTTCCGTCCTCGAGCAGTTCTTTTTTCTCGTCAGTGTTTGATAGTCAAGCTCCCCAGGATCCTTTCCGCTTTGGCCCCCATGGGGTGGTAATGGGGACAGAGAGGAGTCAGCCAACAAAGACTAATGGTCTCCTTCTAGAGACCATTATAGGGGCTGCCCCATCCCTTCCCAGCCCCTCACCTGACACCTCTCTCCCCCACCCGGGGATCCTCACTGTGCCCTGACTCGTGTGGGATGGCGGGGTGGCTGGCTGTGTGTGCACCAGTCTGTGGTCAGCAGGCAGTGAGAGTTCAGATGGGTTCTGCTGTGTGTCATTCAGGCTCTGCCTGATTTTCTCCTTTATCCCGGGTCTGCACATCTGTGACACCCACAGAGGTGAGTGTGGAAACCCAGGAGAGAGAAGATGCCCTTTCATACCTTTTATCTTTGTGGTTTCATCTTTTGTCTCAGGCCTGGAACCAAAGTCAAAATGGAGCCAGAAGCTGACTCTTACTAGAGTAGGATTTCTGGAGGTTAGGTTTTAAATGAATCTTATACTCTTCCAGCCCAGGGGGGACATAAATAGGGGCACCTCTATAAACAGGTGCAGGGCTGCTAAGCACCCTCCCCCTCCCAGGGCCTCATAGCAAAGGTACTATCACTCCAGGACCCAAGGGTGACACATACAGTCCGTGGTTTAAGAGCACTTTATTATTGTTCTTAAGGCTACTTTTAAGTACAAAAAAAAAGATGGCCTGCCAAACCTTTTTTTTCTTCTTCTTCCAGGAAAAACAGGCCACAGAAAATGGTATATTACAGATTTACAAACATGGAGAGAACTGTCAGAACGCACTGCAGATGGCGTGGCTCTGTGAAGACCCTCACTGTGCTCCTCCTGAGGCCGGAGAGTATGTCCTTTCCCAGTGAAATGTTTGGTTTCCTGTTCCCGTCTGCCCGAGGCCCCTCCAGGTACTGCCTATCCCAGATAGGTCAGTGCACAGGGACCCGGCCGTCACACCACTGTCCCCTCCCCGAGCGATGACCTCGTTCACGGACAGCTGTCCGAGGAGCCAGTCTTCACAGAGCCCGCCGGCAGTGGGGTTGTTTCCTGTGGCGACGCTCAGTAGCCTGTAGCAGTAACAAACTAGTGGCTATTAAGGCAGATGCAGTGTTCTCATAGAATAACTGTGTTCCTGCACTTTTACAGACAAAATCTACGACAAAAAAAGATCAACTTTTTTTTCCAAACAAAAAAAATATGAATGATTACAATAGGAAAGGGAAAATTAAATAGCTACATATCATTAACAAATTAATTGTTCTTCAAAAAATACCTACAAATTTCTCTGTACATTCTTTACGCACAGCGTAATGATGGTCTTAAAGTTACCTATATAAAAAAAGTGTTCTCAACGATTTTTCCTACAGAAAATACGGGGCCTGAATGCGAAAGCCTGGAAGCCCAGTTAAGTGGGAGTGAAATGTGTGCAGGGGCGAGAGGACAGGGCTTTTCTTTCGCCTTTTCAAAGACCTGCAGCCACCCTGTGACCACAGCAAGAGCCAATCCTCAATCTTTTCCACCTGGTGCGAATTTTCAAAATGAACCAGCTCACCTGTATTTTTCTCATACTGAAAACCAGCCTCGAGGGCTCCCGTGAGTCCACAATGCCTTGCAGGTGAGGTGGTCACGCCAGCGTCACCTGGCCAGGTGACTTCTTAAACCCTCCAGTGAGCGAGGCTGGAATGTAGCCCAGGGGAGGGGCAAGGGGATAGACACGTGCGTTTACCAGAGAGAGGAGCAGCTGTCGAACATCCACAGCTGTGTCTGTCATGCTTTCTTCTTCACCTAATTTCTAGTTAGTAGCTATTACTATAGCAAACGATAATAAATGCAGTAATAACTGTATAAAGTCAGAGGAATGTATACTGCCTTGGCCCCAGCGTATGAGGAAGCACACAAAAGAGCGCATCACAGATTGTCAGAAATCTGCTGTTTAGCCAAGAGAGTTAAAGGAAGCAGTTTCTGCATGGAGGGAAGTTGGGAGACACAAACCCCACCTCCCCTGGGAGCTAGTAATAAGCAGACAGGGATGCAAAAAATAAATGATGCTGTCAGCCTGTAGCAAAAACTCCAGCATCCTACACCACGGCTGACCGACGACTCAACTGCCCGTCCCAGGGCCTGCCGGGGCCACTCGGCCCCCACTACTTGGGAGTAACGTGAATATCAAATACAAATCTTAGAGTACAACTGTACCAGCAGTAAGTATATCTAGGACTGTAACTGACAAAAATAAACTAATTCTCAATAGAAGCTAGTAAGTATTAAGGTTTGTGTTTACTGTCTATACAATTAATAGAAACCAGCTATTTTTCTCTTAAAACATGCATCGCATTTAAAGCACTACGGAACCTCCAACCTCAGCTCTAGTCTAACAAACTGCAGTGTTTAGAAAAAGTAAAATGCCCGTGATTGGTGGAGTCTGCAGTCCAGTTGCAAGCACCTGAAATCTAGAGAGAAAGACCTATAACCGGTATGAGACTTCCCCTTCCAAAGCTGTTTAGTCTAAAAACAACAACAATACACAAATGGTCAGAAATGTCATCCTTAAACCCTTTGTTTTTCAGCAGTTTGCCCTCAGTTAGCATCTCACATAAAGTTGTCAAGCAGGCAACTCTAGTCCCCCTCCAATAGTGCAAATCAGACACAACAGTCCTCTGTTCTCTTCAAGTAGACGCACACACACAAGCACACACGCGCGAGCTGGACCGAACAAGCCACGGAAGCTAAGCCGCACACACCTCGGTCTCAGAAGCAACTGCAAAAGCACAAAGCGTTTGGGTCACCAATGTCATGGCTTGTGACTGAGGAAGTGCGTGCCATGGAGTCCCGGCCCTGCTGGGGCAGCAGACCTGCATCAGAGGTTTCTTTGGTAACTGAGGCAGGAAGTTAGGATGCTACATGAGACAGATGTTCCACATGCCGTTCCTGCTATCGTTTTTGAGGGCCCTGGCGTACAAATACCAAGCAAGCACAAAAACAGAACAAAAATCCCAACGACATGGTTTTTGCGAATAAACCATCCCCTTCCCCCCACCCCACTCCCATGATTTTTTTTTTCCTGTTTTTTAAGCAATGACTGTTCAAAGCTCAGGCAAACCATGCAGATCAAGGTCTTGCTCGAGGGCGATGTTCCCTTCAGGAGACCACGGAGGGGGAGTGACTGTGGCTGACCATGTGAGCAGAGGGGCTGGCAGGCTGGCCCCTGCGTGAGGCCGACTCAGGGCTGCTGGACGCTCCGTCCTTGGCCGCCTTGATCTGAAGCCACGTGTCTCCCAGGGCTTTGGCAAAGTGGTCGTCCACGGAGCCCGTGATGGACACCGAGTTGGGCGCCGGCTCAGGCTCCTTGTAGTTCTTGCCCAAGCTCCTGCGGAAATGCTCCTCCACCACAGGGTCACAGGTGGCGGTGGCAGCTGTGGGGGAATGGGACAGTGGTCAGAGCTGGACACTTGGGTACATGTCTCAACCTATAACCTGGCATCATGCCTGCCACCTGGGCTAGCTACGAGTTCAGAGAGAGAATGTGGCGTTAAGTGATGTAGAGCCTATTTTTACCCCAACTAGAGAGAGATCCTGAAGGTCAAAGCCAATGTGTGTCTTCCCTCCTTCCCACCCAAGCCAGGCACAATGCTAGCAGCATATGTGCTCCAAATATCCCACTTTCGGTCTTCTCAATTAGAAATAAGCTCCAGGACACCTAGAGGTTCCCGTCTACAGCATGAGCTGGGAGCAAGCAAACTCCGCTCGAAGCATGTTGACGGAGGAGGCCCAAGCCCACCTGGCCACCCCCACCCCAGGGACACTTACAGCTCGGGGCCCTCCGGTAGCTGGCTGGCCCGGCCACGCAGCCACTGTGCGCGATGGGGCAGTGGGAGAGGTTGCAGTTGCGGGCGCTGGCAGAGGCGCAGGTGATCACTGAAGGCCGGTTCTGGGGAGAGGAGGGGGACTGGCGTCAGCTCAGGCTTGGGAACACAGGAGTCGTACTGCTTCCCCAGCCGTCCCACAGCAGAGCGCCAAGTGCCACCCACCGCCTCGGGCCCCAAGTCCCCCGTCTGTCGGACTCCAGCTCCTGCATTCAGGGCCCTCACCAGCACCCTCCACCACTCTGCTGTGAGCCTGGGGCCCCTCCTGAGGGAAGGCAAATCAAAGTCCCGTCCCTCAGCAGCCTCCTACTTCAAAAGCGGAGTCATGCTAAGGGACAGCAGCGAATCCAGGAGAGAGAGCCACCCCTGATCCTCCAGTTGAGGTCCCCGCAGCAGCAGTCCTGCCTTATTAGTATGTGCGACTGTACCCCAGAGGTTCTCTGAATGGTCCCTGTACCCTTCAAACATGCAGTTTCTGCTTAGGCCAAAGCCAGCTCAAGCTGGTTTTTAATATGACCACACAAATGGAGACCGAAATGCAGGAAATACATCTGAGTATATGAATTACACGTGTACCACCGCTCACCCATCTGCTGTGCCGATGCTTTCCTTTCCCATGACAGCCACACTGTTTGCCAGGCAAACTCCACTCGCCCTTTAAAACCCTGTTCAAATACCATCTCTGTGAAGCCTTTTATGACCCGCCCCCCGCCCCGATTCAGCAGGTAAAGCAGCCTTCCAGGTGCACCCGCAAGACACCAGCACCTGCCACCGCCTCTAGACCAAGCACACTTCAGAGCAGGGACCAGAGCTAGTTTCTAGATCCCCAGACCTTGGTGCAGCGCCTGCGGCAGAAAATATCTGAACCAAACAGCTTCCTCAGGCTCCAGCCAGGAAAGGCATCTCCTGCTAGCCCCGAGGTCAAGACTTAGATGACATACGCTGAGTTCCAAGACAACAAGTGAGGAACTGATTGAAGGGTCCACAGAGGGGACTGGCTTGTCCCCCCAGCCTTTCCTTTCACGAGTCGATCAGCAGCCAGTACACAGATACACTCAAGGCTTCACATCAAACCTTCTCATGATTGGAAAT